TGGAAAAAAGGAAAGGTGCTTTAGTGTGTGTTTTAATTTGATTGGTAATTTGATTTGGTTGATGGGGGAGAATAGCTTAAGGACAGTCGTTTTTATAGTGTTTTTCTTGAACAAAATTATATTTAAGAATTATAGATAATATTAAGATATTTATTTAAGTTTATATCGCTAAACAATAAAATCACATTCGCAAATTTAATAAAGATTGTTCTTTGGATCTTTAGTTTTTTCGCAGCATTTCTATATAAATTAATACTTGCTTTTTATTTAATAAATACATTTTTTATTAGATTGTATTCATTCTTATGCAAATAGATGCAGCACAAACGAATTATCGAACGATTCAAACTTTGTTTGTTGAAAAGTAAAACAATCTGTTAATTAGATATTCATTATTCAAAGGTTCTAGTTTTTAACCTTGTGCTTTTGATATCATTAAAAAGCAAAGGCTTCTTGTATTGTGTTACTAATAAAAATGCGAATAGTACAAACAATTGAATCGACTATTATTCACCTGAGCTATTATTTCAAATTCAAACAATATCAAGACTAATTTGCTGTATATACTCTAAATAAAAGTATCCAATATATTTAGCAACTAACTTATCTATTAAGTCATTGAATTGTTTATTGCAATTATGAATGGCTTTTTAAAAATTTAATCGCTTTAATACATGAATTATAAGTACATTTCAGACATTTATCTAACGATGTAAAGCATAGCCCCATTCTTTTGTTGTCTCAGAACCAATAATTGTACGCCAATAGAAAAATAGATAGTAAATCAAGCTTTATGTGTGTATTTAGAGCACTAATGTACCAGCATCGTTTGATTTAACCTCGTGATATTTTTGAGTTAATTGTTTATGTTAACGTATCTACATGTACATTACGTACGCATATGTTTTTTTATATTATGAAAATTTTAAATAATATACAATAAATTGAATTTTGCATAAAGTCGCTAATGTTGCGTGCCGTGCTTTGAGGGCAAAAAATAGTAAAGTAGCCATTAATCGAAAATGATACAACACGAAACACCTAAATGCATCACGCTACGTGAAACGTGGTGTTACGTTCCGGAAAAACTATCACAATGTTATACAATGTTATAATTTTATTGTTCCACTAATTAACTTATCATTATACATGTACGTACATTGAAGAGGCTACGATTAAGTGAGTATTTGTCTATGTTTCATTGAGACGTTATTTTGATTCTTTCGAAGAATAATGGTAACGATAAGCTAAATTATTTGTGCTACTTGAAAACAATGCTAACCGTAACAACATTATTATACATGTAATGGATCAGTGTTCGATTGAATTTCCTTAATCAAGTCAAGTTTCTCTATAAAATCAAAGGTTTTTCCTTGACTCGAAACGATATAACCATAACAAGACAAAATTCTAAATATTCGAATCACCAATAAAAACTTAATCGATCCATATCATTTAACAAAATGCAACCAACAACCAATACTCAATCAACATTCAATCCTGTCGCTGTCATCATACCAAATGGCGCTATCAAGGGACCTACCAATGACCCGCGCGACGGTCAAGCCACAACTCAATGTGTGATAATGTGAATTGATCATATTTATTACACATAAAAATGAAAGAGTTACTTGTTGCTTCAACCCGATATCGTTTGATAACATGATTTCAATTTTTCAACAAATCGACCGTGAAAGAACGGATGCTAGAGAAAGACAACTTTAATTTCTTTAATTTAATCATTATTTTGTATAATCATTTTGATTGTAATTTTAATTTGTACCCTATAATATATGTTAGAGTGAATTAGATATATTTAATATTATTCTTTTGCTTTTAATTCTTAATTGTTGTATATTTAAAAGTTTATTTTTGTGAATGCTCTTAAATAACAACAAATAAACTTAAAATATGAAAATTTTTTCTTTAAAATTTTATTTTTGTGAATGCTCTTAAAATAACAACTAATAAACTTAAAATATGAAAATTGTTTCTTTAAAGAAGTACTTTTTTTGCGAGGTTACCGGAAGTGGAAGCGTTTCAGAGCTAAGAAGTAATTTTTTACAAATTAATCAATGAATAACAGCAACTCCAAACATTGATTATAATTGACAGTATAAAACACTTTGAGAGCATGTGTTGTTATCATGAATTTGTTTTGATTATTCGTTAAAATAAAATTGCAAGGGAAAAAAATGCATATGAAATCTATTTTCACCTTATATTTAGCCACGCTGGACCTAATATTTTCCATTTATTAAATATGAATGTAAAAAAGTGTAGAAATATACGAAAAAATCTGTCGTACAGACATATAAACACGTGTAGCTTATATTTTCATACTCAATATGCCTGTAAAAAGTGATCTTTTACGTGACATATCAGACTTTTTCGTATTTCTTTAAACATATATTGAAATTTACGGGCCTCTTTTTCTTATAGGGAAGAAAAAATGTAGCACGTGATTCTAGATATTTATTCAGTAAGTTTTGTGCTTCGATGCTTCAAGATGTCATGCGTATGCGGTTTTTTCAGCATGCGTTAACTGTTGCATACTGCATTTTATGATTACGCGCTAGTTTCTATAATTATTTCGGCAAGAATCAATATTCATCAGATTTGAATTAAAACTAAAGGAAACACATGATACGTATATAGTCAATTTTAGCATTTGATGCACTACTTGTTTCAAATTACGCATAAGTGAACAATACGTAATGGGTTTCATATTGACAAAAAGATTAATTCCTTAAAAACAATGCTCTAGTTTTTTTTAGATTGTTCTTGTGTAAGTGCATTGGTATGTAATTTTATTTCTCGAGCTTCATTCCTCGATAAATGCATAAATGTTAACTACTATATCAAGTACGTAATACATGTATACGTATTACATAATTCAAAGATCAACGTCAATGCGCACACGTTCTAACACCAAGGATGCTTTCCTATTTAGGTGTTAAAGAAGGTAAGACAATACTAACCGGTTATTGTGTAGATCCCATTGTAAATGCGCAGAAGGCATTGTTCTATACGTACATGTAATTAATAGAACAGACTTTGCATGTGTTCATAAAAAATGGCTATAAAATAACCTTTCGTCTCAACAATTATTTTTCCTCATCAAATCAAATATTTTTAACTTCAGCTTTACAGCTAAAAAGCATTCATTTTGAAATTTCAATTATCTCATTTTCTCGTCAATAAATCTTTATCAACTAAACTAAAAATGCAACCAACAACCAATACTCAATCAACATTCAATCCCCTCGCTGTTATCGTACCAAATGGCGCTATCAAGGGACCTACCGATGACCCGCGCGACGGTCAAGCCACAACTCAGTGCGTAATAATGTGAGCAAGTTGGTTCTTCAGATTTATACGGAAATTTAACTATCCATCGAGAAAATGATCGATAACATCCTAATTACGATTAGTTTCCAAAAATTCTGCGAATTTTTGAAATTTTTTGATGAACATTTATATTTACACTTAATCATATCATTCATCGATAACTGTAAAAACATTGTATTTATAACTAATGAATAGTAGTTACTCTTTTATGTCATATTCTTACTGTCTTTTAATTTTTATTTGATATAACTTTTTACAAATTAATTATACTTTCGTATTTCTCTATATATTTAGGACACGTGTTCTTTATAACTTTAGTATTTATTTATGCATTTAGGACGCAAGTTCTATAAATATTTTTAATCAATCATAAATTTTGATTTAATTTAAAGTGAAACTGGTAAAAAAAGTAATTTAAGCCTAATCTAACATTAAAATGCACAGTAATTTGCTGTAAGTGCTTTGTTCCAGTAATACCATTTCGCTTCTTTTTCAACCAATAATTCCAAAAAAAACTATCCTTAGTACGTGTTTCATAAAGTTATTTATTCAATAATTTGCCTATACATATATATATATATATATATATTTACAAAATCAATGACAATTGTAGTTGTGAAACTAGCTAAAAGGGTGATATTTATCGAAAAAATTTATCTGAAACAATGAATTCTTTTGTTAAGAGGAGAGAAGTAGAGATGACAAACAAAACTTTATGCAAGTTTGCCTTTTCTTGTCAAATATGAAAATGACGAGTGATGTTTGTAAACTAATTTAATGTGACTACAGATCCAAGCATTTTCATGAGCTCAACGCAATCTGTGACAATTCTTTCCGCGCTATTTATCGATAATTTAAATATAATGTACTAATACTCTCACACATAGTTATATCAAAGATATATCGGAGATTATTCTTGTTTGAGTAATTTAAAGCTACTGCTTAAGTGCAAATATTTTCAGTTCGATTATTATCATCTTTGTATATTGTTGATACATACATTCTCGCATCAAGCTATAAGAACAAAGCCTGGTGTTCGATAGCGATAGATAATTGCGTATTTAGTATCAAAAATATCAAAATAATCATAAACCATGATCAAGCGCGTACGTATTTTGTATAACGAATACTTATAATAATTTGTATCAAGTCTTAAATTTATTTCCGCATTAAGTGCTAATCTGATTAATAGTTATTGATATTCATTGTTTTTTTATCTGATTTCCATCTTATCCCGCCGAGCACTTTGTCTTTTGGCCACTTCTGAGCAAATATACGTCTTGTAAGTAGATTTCGAATATAATTATATTTTTTCAGCGGATCTATGCGATATGAACTTAAAAAATTGCAGTTCAGAGAAGGCAATTCGATTCTTTCAGTGGAGTTCAAACTTGATGTCTTGGATATAGTCATGCTTTTCATCGAAAAAGTTCGGATTAATAAAATAAAGATACGCACGGGCAAGTGACCGAAATTGTACTATTCAAACGTTGACCGTGTGATTCTATGATGATATATTGTTCCATTAAGTCATTATATGATAACGATTCGATTTTATGATGTATTGCTCCATTTGAATCATAACGACAAAAACTATAGTAACCAATTTTTCGTGAGAATATTCATCTCTTCTTTCTCTTTGTGACAATATGTACTCTCCTGAAGAAACATTAATGAACAGCTTTTTATATCTTAAGCTGGGACGGCGCACAAGACAAGAGTTGCTAGCTGTTCAAGAAAATTTTATTAAAACTTTTGAAATAGCACAAGCTAAAAATTTGTATTTTTTTCAGACAACAGACAGCACCTTTGCCAATAGAAATACGAGTACCATAAATGTTGAACTTATTCCTACGAATCGTATCGCCATCTCTGATTTAGAAGTTGGAAAAGTTCATACTGGCAAATTTGTGCTGTGTCGTGTAATCACAAAATGTGTGAAACTTACAGCCCTTACCACGGTTATTGAAGATCCGGAAGGCGACGTAGAACGCTTATCTGCATATAATTATATTCCAGTAAATAAAATACCTAACGCTAAAATATTATCAGTAGATCAAGCGTCTCTATTTCTCCCGATTGGCACCATTCTTGCAATTCAAAACCCATATTATAAGGTTGGTTCCCAAGACGGAGCAACCATGATTCGATCTGATAATCCAAGTGAAATCGTGATTTTGAAGCCAGATGATAAACTTCTTACCCAAGTAGGATGGAAAACAGGTAGTAACTCATTTACGAATGTGAAGACTGAAACACAGAACATTCCATCGGCTGATAGTTTTCGTGTACGCGGGAACGAGCACTTTGGAAAGAATGACTTTACATCGGCTGTTGACGAATATTTACGTGGCATTGAATTGTATCCACAAAATGTGTTGCTTTATGCAAATAAAGCAGAGGCGCACTTGCGTTTGAGTCAATTCATAGAAGCACTTCACAATACGGAAATGGCGTTGAAGCTTGATCCCAAACACTTAAAAGCTGGAATCCGTAAAGGTAAAGCTCTGAAACATCTCAAGCGATATGAAGAATCAGCAAATGTCTTTCGAGATCTTCTTAGAAATCCAGCAATAAAAAATTCGCTCAATGTAAAGCTTAAAAAGGTGATTGAAGAATATCGGAATCAAGCTCAAATGTTAGATTCTGAAAATAAGTATGGACAGTATAATTATATTGAAATTATTGATGAATTTATAAAGAAAATCCAAGTTCGTATTGGCACTAAGGAATGGATTTATCCTGGGGGTCCGAGGTTAGATCATGCAGATTATATAAACAACGCAATCGAGATCAAACATATCGGTGATAAGGGTCGTGGTTTAGTTGCTAATTGTGATATCCCACAGCATACTCTATTAATTGTTTCGAAGGCTTTTGAAATTGTATTTGATCAAGAGGTTCCAGAGTGCTTGAATCTCAATTTCAATAGAAAAATTATGAACGATGCCAAATCAACAGAATTAGTTACTTTGATTGTCCAAAGGTTACGGGCTGAGCCACAACTTGCTCAGGAAATCTATCAACTGTATGCTGGACCAACTATGATTCCCGGCAAAGATCTTGACGAGAAAACATTGAATATCATTGACATCGAGAGAATCGAAAAAATAGTCTATTATCATCAGTTTCAAGCAGCCTATCCATGGGAAAATTTTGATCAAAAACGCCAAGAAGATTGTTTTGAATCGGGCATATGGATAATGCCTTCATATTTCAACCATTCATGCGTAGATGCAAATGTGCAAAGCATTTATTTAGGGGATTTAATGTTTGTACGTGCTCAACGCTCAATCAGAAAAGGAGAAGAATTAACTTTAGCCTATTTTGACCAGTCAAATTCCTATGAAAAACGTATAAAGTTGCTTAAACATTTTGGCATAAAATGCCAATGTCGACTTTGTAAATTCGAGCGAGATGAACCTAACAGAGTAAGGCAACGACGCATAAACATTGAAAAAAAGCTTTGTTCTGAGATTATACCTCGCATTTCTCCTCGATCTGAAAGATTCTCGCTTTCTTCATCAGTTATTACTGACCTAGAAGGAATGATCGATGAGTTGAATTCACTCGGATTAACATATCCTGAACTCGAGTTTTTGTCATTGCGTGCCAAAGACGCGCTATCTATGACTTATTTTAATATCCATAGACTCACGGAGTCTATGGGTATTGCTCACCAGTTGCATGACCAAATGAAAAAGCGTAATCTTTTTTATTGGGCTTATAAGTTTTCTTCTTTGTTGACTTTGTTGTATATGGTTACAAGAAAAGCTGAAAAGGCAAAGGTGTATTTTAATTTGGCTTTATATGAGATGGTTGCGCCAATTATAGGCGATTTCGACATTAGAAATAGTGAACAAAGATCAAAAGCGTTGTCAATCGCTGAAAAGTTAGGTATGCAATTTATACCCGGTGAAATGTTAGCTGAATTGCTTTGAATTTCAAAAGCATATATTTACATCATGTTATTAGAAATTTTTATGTAATATAATAAATGTCTCAAATTATAAAATATAAATAGCAATCTTTCAAATTCTGAATTTGTTGATTATTTACCAATAAAAGTAATTTTTAAGAAAATTGTTTAATGTTCTCTTTCGTTTCACCACTGAATATTATATTAACGAAATTTTAGGTTGGCTTAAGCCACTAAACTAATCGATCGTACTTTAACTACATGATTAGTGGTTATGTGGCAAATTACGGTATCTTTAAAGTCATACTTTCACATAAGAATGTCACATAAAATGACACACCTACAACCTGCAGAAGTGCCTTGGATTTTTTGCATGAATTCTGTTTAAATTTAATTGGCGTAGTATGTGTAATTCTGACTACAAATGACAAATTAATAAACAAAATCATAATTCTCACTAAAATAAAACGAAGACAATGAATGAAGTCGAGGTTCTTTCATGAAATATACTTTATTTATAAAATGTATAAAGTGTGTAATTGGATAAACTGTATTATCAATTGTTAGGATCTAGACAGTAACAAAATATTATTATTGTGTTTATGTACGTAATAAGGGAATTTTTACTTTGTATAATAAAAGGATCTAATGTTTTTAGACCCTAAAAAATTGAATTTTATTGTTAATCTAATAAAGTATAAAGTAGTTACCATTTTCTTATTACCTTATTTTATGAGAGTTGAATTTGTAATTTTTCATTCTCTTTGATTCGTATGGTATACTAAAATCGAAATCTGTTTTGCAACCAAAGAAACATAATGAGTTAATCACAGAAATCATTATCACTAAGACTAAAAATATTTTCGATCAATTTGGGAATAGAATTACATAAAAAAAATGATGGAACTGATTCATTCGAAACATCTCAATATACAAATATATAAAACCCTAATATATGGGCGAGATTTTATTATTCAATAATTGATGTGAAGCAAGAAACACTAGCAAGATTTTTGTTTAAGCTATCATGTGATGCAAATGACACGTGAAATGATCTACAATACTGTTCGATTAATAACGATAATCCTGTACTATTCTTTATTTTTAGTGCAAATGACAAATCGAAATGCTGTATTAAAATCAATCGTACTGAAAGCACCCAAAAGTTATAACTCCGATATTATTATAGCTACTTATTGACGAATTTTGACAATGCTATCAGTCAGCACTGATTCGGTTTTGCAAGATCCAGACCAGTTCTCAAACCATTCTCTCTTGGCCATCTTTTAATAATGACTGACTCTTTCGCAGTAAGCGAGTTTAAACGCCTTCCAATATGCTGCAGGAATTACAGCTTTATAAAATGTAACATATGAAGAGATGACACGAATAGCAAATATAATCTGATCTGTATATTCCTCTTTGCCAGTTAGAAGTATATTTTCAAATCCACAGGCGAGTGTTTTGGCAGCAATTTGTGCTTCTCCATAATCAGTCCGAAAATAACCTTTTCGCAGTTTATCCTGCATAAAAAGATTATTTGAACCAATAAAAATCAGATACAGATCTCTACAATCACCATGAAGATAACATTTCTTGGTTGCTAATCATAAAATTGCTTTCACATTTGACACAATGTAGTTCGTAGCTTTAACAGCAGTGATATCCTCGGATAGAGCTGGGTGAAACTTGATTCTCAGTGCGCGAATATCTTGCATTTGGAACTTAGATGCTGAGAACGAGATCTTAAAACTGGGCTCGGTCTTTCTGGATCATTTTGCGACAAAATTGGGTGAGCTAATGTGGAATATGGGAGAAGAACTAATTATTGGAAAGTATGTGGTGTAGGACGAGAAAATCTCGCAGAGACCGAGAGGCGAAGATATTTTATAAAAATTTTGATCAGACTAATCAATTTTTTCTTAATCTATCGCACATGATTAATGTGGCAAACTTATAAGCGACACTCACAAAATTCGAAATTTTCCGCAACAAAAAATTCAAAACAAACGCTTATTTTTGAAAAATAGCTTATATCTCGAAATTTTGTCTATGAAACTATCTTTTGTGTTTTAACAAAAAAAATATATACTGAAATTTTGTTTCAGATACCTTTTTTGGCAAATAATCTTAACTTTAGTCCAAAATTCTTATTATTTTTACCGAAATATAAATATCAATATCAATATCATAGTCATTCAATCAAATTTGCTTTTCCAAGTATAGTGAATATAGAGAGGTTTGACTATATATTTATATTAATTATTATAATTATTTAAATATTGGTTTATGTAAATAACAATTTCAAATTATTCCAAAAACTGCAATTAAAATATGATAACAAGAACATGATCAGAATGAATGCACAAATTTTGTAGCTCACATATGACTATTTTGAAAAAAAAGGCTGAATTTGACTTGTTATATTGTTTTAAAATAATATTTCTTTGTTATAATAGATAACAAATTCTATTGATACAAATTTACTGAGAAATTAGTTATTAAAATTTGTCAATTACATCTTATTGTTAAAAAATCTTTTCAGTTTTAGATTAATTATATATAAAATGACAATAATAACTTTCTTTATTTGAATTTAAGTTATAATACAAATTTGATTTTTTTACCTTTCAAATATAAAAAATAAGTTAATTTTTATAATCAAAAATTATCATTTAATAATTTATAAAATTAGTAATATTATCAATATTTTTTTAAAAATGCTATAACAAATACAAAAAATACTAAATTAAGAATGGATAAAATTAATTTTTCAGAATATTTAAAAGTTATTAATTAGTTAAATATTAAAAATATAATATATTTAAATAATAAAATATTTTAAGATAAAGAATTTGATAATAAAAATAAAAATTATAAATTGATAATAAGAAAAAATTAATAATAATGAATTTATTATCAAAATTAAAAAAGTACAAGATATATTTAATTTTAATTCTAAAAATTTAGTAACAAATTTAATAAAAAATAAAATAATAATAATAATAAAAAAGCTTTTTTAATATAAAAAATATAATAAAAAATTTATAAAACTTACTTATATTAAGAATTTATTAATAACTTTTTATATTAAATAAATTTTTGAACTTAAATTTTCTTAGATTGAATTTTAATAAATTTTTGAACTTAAATTTTCTTAGATTGAATTTTAATTAGTTTTTTTATATTAAAAATTTCTTATATTAAGAATTACTTATAATACTAATAATAATAATAATAATAGATATTTGAAAATTATAAAGAAAATAACTTTATTTAATAATTTTTTGAAGTTATATTATACATGTATAAATAAATAAACAAGTTATTATTTTTATAAATTGTTATAAATTTTATTAATTATTATAAATTTATCTAAGAAATAATATAACAAAATGTTTTATTATAAAAATTATTTTATTTAATCTTAATAATAACTTTGGTAAAAATTGATTTGAGATATTATAATTTTAATAATAATAATACCAATTTTAATAAAATTTGATTTGGTTATAAGATATTATAATTTTAATATTAATAATATATTAAATTATATTACTTGATCTTAATTTATATAATTAAATAATAAAAATATCAATATTTTTTTAAGTAAATTGTAAGTTATTATTTTTGTTTATTAATAAATTTTTATTATTCAATTAATTTTTTCCTTTTATTAAGTAAATTGTAAGTTATTATTTTTGTTTATTAATAAATTTTTATTATTCAATTAATTTTTTTCTTTTATTATTATAATAATATTAAATTTGTTAAGTTCATAATTTTTTCTATTTAAATTTTATTATTGACTTAATTTTAATAATTATTATAGCTAATATTGAAATTGATTAATAAAATTAGAAAATGAAATTAATTAGCAATAAAATGCATTAATTTTAGTATAAATCAGATTTTAGTATAATTATTATCATTTAATATTAATTAGTATAATCTTAATTTTGTATAAGAGAAAAAGTTTTTTATAACAAGAAACAAGATAATTTAATCAAAGTAATATTCTTTAATCAAAATAAAGTCTTGGCTTATTAATTAAATTACTTATTTGTTCATAAACTAATAATTAATTAACTTCAAATCTTGTATACAAATAGTAAAAATCTTATTCTAAATAAATTATATATATAATAAAAGATCTCTAAATAAACGATATATAATAAAAGGTCTCTACTTTGAATAAATCATATTTTGATTTGTTAGTTTAATTAAATATTTTGATTTTATTATTTTGTTATACTGGTATTATTTTGTTATTATTTTTGTTAAATATTATCAATAAGTTTTATTTTATCTTCATCTTCTTATTTTGTGTCAATTAATTACAATCTTTAAAAAATTTGTATATAAGATCTCTAAAATCTTTAAAGGTAACAGTTTAATTTTAAATCATCCAGTTTTAGCTCAAAACTTTGTTACATCCTTTTGCTTTAATTTCAATAATTTAAAAGAGGTATAACAATTTTCATGTATTTTTTGTAGGTCTATAAATTCAAATTCATCAATTTCTCTATTAGTTGTTCCTAGCGCTCCAATCGGGTCGGGTTGGTGTCAAACCCAACCCGAAATATTTCGGATCCGACTAAAAATCGTTATTTCTCGTTCAATATTAATTCAAATTGAACGAAATTTGAAGATATATAATCAATTGCATTCGAATATCTCTACTTAAGACACAAAATACAAGTGTTTTTAGTAAAAATAAAAGTTATTAACGAAAAACTATTTTACGGTTTTCGGATCAAACCCGACCCGAGCAGAGTTTTAGTCCTAATTCTTTATAAATTGTAATTATTGAATTGGAGCGTGATTTAGTTATATGAAATATTATTAGTAAGTGAAAAATCTATTCATTTGTCAATCACAAGTCATGTTTTTTTACTTGACATGTCCCATTAGTGGATGCATCTATGTACATGTACACCCCACCCGATTTGGTAATAACAAAAATAACCAATAGCATTGCGTATTTTCGGAAATTTCTACTGTAATAAGGATTAAGGTTAAAAATGGTTTAAAGATTAGGGTTAGGGTTACGGTTAGGGATGGTGATCCAGTTATATATAAATTTGTCTCTTTGACAGTGTTATTAGTACTCCGGACCAGATTTTGACATTTATTTCTTGTATTTTTCACATTTCTCGCCGGTTTGTTTTACCGGGTTGATAAAAAATTTATGCATTCTTATTGGCTGTTTTTTATCACAACCAAATCGGGTGGGGGGTATATAGATGCACGCTCCCATTAGTTATTGACTATATGAAACAGGGTATTTTAAGTCAATATAAATCAGGAAGGACAAAAAAGTTTGCTAAGTTTTAGTAAATCGGCTCAGCTACAAATTGGTAGCTTCCTTCTTTTGTATTATCTCTGTGTAATGTGCTATTAGCTTTCAAAGATCATCAATTTTATTTCATTCTTTAAGTCTCGTGCAATGTAAAAAAAAATACGACTGTAAATTTCAATATAAGGTAAGTGAGGGTATTATGGCGAAGGAGGTATTATGACGAAATAGCGATAGCTCGATCTCCTGTGATCGGGATCGCACAAAAATGCCACCATTTGATTCGCCGCAACGAGACGAATCGAATAAAATTTCGGTGACGATCCGCGTTCGGTGAATTTCGGGGGCGATATCTCGATCCCTAATTATCGGAATCGCACAAAAATACCATCATTCGATTCGTCTCGTTGCGGCGAATCAAATGGTGGCATTTTTGTGCGATTCCGATCACTAGGCATCGAGATATCACATATTTTTACTTTAGTTCGTCATAATACCCACACAACTAAAATTTTAGGTTTTAGCCATAATAAATGTTCCAAATATTTTTTGCTTATTTTAATATTAACTTCGTCATAATACCCCTTTTCACTTATGTAAAAAAATTACAAAATATACGGAAAGTTTAATATTTCTGTAAAAGGTCATGTAATTGACTTTTACATACAGGTTTACATCTGTAAATGATCTTTTTTGCTTTTTACAGACATATTACGTGCAAATTTCTTATAGGTGGGTTGCAGACAGATATAAATAGTGCCTAAGGAATCTCCTTGAGAGGTCTTCTCTTCCTTGAAGAGTTGACTTCCAACCTGGTCTTATGGCTTTGCTCACAAAGTGTATAAAGATTGCTTAGATACATTTAGCGGGAAAGGATATCTAAACATTAGACTGTATCATTGTGGTTAATCATTTGAATCAATGAAGAGATAGTACTATCATTAGCTTTTTCGCTAATTATGGACTCATTTTTAATTTTAACTCTTACTATTTGAATTCTTTTCGTTAGTTAATCATGGATATCACTCGTATTCTGCACATTTTCAGTGTAAGCTCTTTTTCTTACTAGATTCTATTTTGACCCTAGCATTATCAAGTAAAATCATTTCTATCTCCTTAGATCTTATACATACAATATATGCGCAAATGGACTTGCATGAGTAACAATAGGCTTTTTTATGGGCCAGCATAACATGAATATGAAGTGCTAACTAATTTTTTTTTCGAAAACCGTAATGTATTTTCGCTTTAGTATAACAAAAAAAAATGTATTTCTATTACGAAAAATGTTGCAAGAAAAAGCTTATCTACAGATTCACTTTATTGCTTCAAATGAAAAAATCAACGGAAATTAAATAATCATCATCTATAATTTGTAAGCACGGTCGAAACCAGAATAGTTAACGAAAGACTATTTCTAAAGTTCCATAAAAGGATTAAAAACTGTTATCTGCGCCATATGATTTCATTTCTGAACCTGGTTTCCTAGTGTAACAATGCATTATTTTCTAAATATTTGGATGTACGTACATGTATTAATAATGATTAAAATACGTACTAACCTAGTGCTTTTGAGACTATCACTATTAAGCAGAATTGATAAGCCACAAGAAAGTTACAAGATATACATGTATAAGTTACATGAATTACATAAATTATAAGAAAATCAAGAAAACTTGACATGTTATGAAATCAAAGAGCATATAGTAAAATTTGAATTTGTCATCTAAAAACAAATTGTTGCTCAAATTAAATTAAGCCGTCGAAATTGTTCAGAGAAGCATATGTGGCGGTAACAATATCGATATGTTATGCAAAGAATCTTCCCAAGAAATGATTTGAAATCATGTCGATCATTTTCAAAAAACCATAAATACAACCGTAAAAAAACCAATAAAGTGAAAAAACAAAATTAAGATAAACCGATGAATTCTTTTAACAACGAAACAATTAATATGACGAATTCGAATTCCACTGTTGATAATAGCGCTCTTCGCCAATTGATCTTCATAAACTCTAGTTATCGTAACCGTCACCTAATGGTCAGACATAACGATGCCAAGCCAATATTTAAGCCACCGTTTCCACCAAAATTTGAAGCAGAAGATACTACTGGAAAGCGACAAAGTGGTGCCAATCCAAGCAAGCCTCCCAATGCATTTATTCTTTATCGTAGAGCCTTTGTTAAAGCCGCGATTGCGGAAGGATATCAACTCCCAATGACCGTTATTTCGACTATGGCTTCGCAATCTTGGGAGCAAGAATTACCCTTTGTAAAAGAAGAATACAAAAGACTTGCCAAAGAGGCAAAAAAGAATCACGAATTAAAATATCCAAAAAAACTAAAAATCAAAGAAACAAAAAAATGGCGCGTTTATGAACCTAAATCCACAGAATTTCCATCTCCGTTTGAAAATCCTGAATGTACTAATAATTCTAAATCAATTTCTCCCTCTCCAACGCTATTTACTCCATTTTCTGAACATTCTATTAATTGGGAAAATTTTTTCGATTTAGAAACCAATGTATCCCAATCTAAGAACATCGATAATTCAAACGGGGTATTTAAAAATTTGGTTAACATAGAACAATTTACAATGGCTATGCCTGAATCAGAAGATTCTTTTAATTTCCCCAAAATTCCCGAGGTTTCATTCGAAGCTGATACTGACTTTAACCTAATATCCAATGAACTTCTTCCCGAATCAAATCCATCTATTGTTGAATTGATTGAAAATATGCCAACAATCAACAATAAATTTACGGAAGTTATCGATGTATTAAATTCACAATTTTGCTTCAATAATAATTCTTTCGAATCTTTTGAACACTTTATTTTTGACGAATCAATTGATACAGCATCTACATTTCAACCAGCACAAGAACCAACAATTTTGGATCAAGATAGTTTTTTGTTGGAACAACAAGATCCATTAATATTTGAAACCGAACTAGAACACTTACTATCCTTTTCTGACGAAGAATAAACAGCAAACATATATCATTCTATGTATTTCTCATACGAAATAATCCCCTTTTATTATTAGAAGATTAAAATGATTAAATATACCGATACTATGCGCTTAAGCCTGCAACATTTATATAAAACTACAGTTATATAATAATAATGTATTATGTTTTCTCTATTCTTATTCTACTTTGCTTTGACAAAAGTTTTTTCATGTATAAAAATAATCCTTTTGTATCAAGCCACATTATAAGATTTAAGATAAGATTTACTGTGCATGTATGTTCAATGTGGCTGATGCATATACATGTACTTCGCGTATGACTTGAATTAACGTTAACGATATCGATATGAAATAAAATTTATCGCTAATACATTTTTTCTGATATATTTACTTTTTTTACGATGAGATTTAATCACCCACTATCGTTATTGTAGCGTGAAACAATTGCAAAGTTTGAAATATAGAATTCGAAAACTGTTTTGGGGAAACAAAGTAAATTTGTTATTTAGATCGAGTGGTATTTAATTAAACAAGATCTTTTCTCGAACGTGAGCTACATTTTTGATGTGCGAAAATTATTGGAAAGGCGTAATAACGATAACGATCAAACACAACACGCGTTCAATTTGAAAATTGTTTTGCGCAAGAAACAATAACAGAATGGCAATGGCAAAAATTCAAGTATCAAACTACAGAACCGAATAATTTGAAGAATTCCTCTTGAATTTATATTAACCCTAGCAATTAGTAATCATAGAAACCAACAACAGACTTGTTAAGTCATCTTTTCTGCCGAATTTGAAGCAGAAGAGAGAGGAATAGCAGCTATCCGCAAAGACCCCAACGCATTTATTTTTATCGTAGTAAATTGGTTAAAGCCGCGCGATTGCCGAAAGACATAATTTTTCCATGACAATTATTTTAACTACAGCTTCACAAGCGTAAGAACAAGAATTGCCAATTGTCAAAGATGAATACAAACGAGACAAAAAGAAATTATCAGTTTCCATGAGTACCGAAGATTAAAATGGCGTATTTATCAAACAAAATTGTCCTATGGTGCAAACGGTCTAAAGACATCCAATATATCCAATACTTTAAACTGTAAAGGATTTGCATCCAAACACTTTAACCACAAAAAAAAATACGTTACTAAATAACCTTTGATGAGAACTATAATATAACGTATTTTCTTGTGATTTAAGTGTTGGATATATTGGATGTCTTTAGACCGTTTCATCTCAGAACTCTGAATCGTTTAATAGTTCGATTTCATCTTTTCTTATGTCATCTGGATTTAATATCAATGTTCTCTAACATCAACTACTTTTTGGTAATAGCGATAGCGATAGATTCTTCTCAATGTGACTTTGAAACAGAGTTTAATCATAATCAAATGCATGCGATTTCAACGTTGCGATTTTTCCGTTGCGGTTTTTCTACACGGAAGATATATTTTAAGAACCATATTTATCTTTGTATTATTTATTATTTATTTACATATTTATGCATTTTCTACTGGTCACTAATTCTAAATAAAAAATGATTGAATTAACGGAATTTAAAATCAATGTCAATTAACAACAAATAAAATTACAAATTATGTAAGATATGCATGTACAGTATAATAATATCGCGATACTCGGGTGTTTCCTCTGATTTGTTGCTGTTATAACAGCTCATTAAAAAAATAAGCGGGTAGATCCATAAAAGTTAATATTTGATCTTGAGAATTTCTTTAATTGGAATCCTTTCGTAACATAAAAAATTTTTTGAGCGTTCCCACGTGTTCATTTTTTTTAGGAGATATATGCACATGTTTGTTTAGATGAGGGGGCTTAGCGGATTGAAGAAACCCCAGGTTTTCTGATTACGGGAAATATCGGGTCGTTAATATTAAACAAGGGTTAATTTATCAATATCAGTATCGGTATTGTAAAAAAGAACGTGGAAACTAGACTAAACCATACATGGGAAAGCAGTTTGTGTACTCTTAAAAGTTGAACAAGATAATCAACACACACAGTATATATATAGGCTGTGTGTATTGTTGTATACACTCCCAAAAAAATAATAAACCAAGCCGAGTGGTGAAGTATGAAAAAATTAAATAGAAAAACAAACAAGATTGAAACACGTCCATTGATTTTTATCGATTCTAGTGACCCAATTAATCCAAACCAAATAATCAATCACGTTGAAACGAATCAATTATTCAAACCACCTTTTCCGCCGAAGCACGAACCTAAAAATTTCATATACAAGAAGAAAAAAGATTCAGAACCAACCAAACCTCCGAACGCATTTATTCTCTATCGAAGAGCTTATGTTAAAGCGACGAGTGACGAGGGCGTTCAACTTCCAATGACTGTTGTCTCAGCTATGGCTTCACAGGCTTGGGAACAGGAATCACCATTAGTGAAAGAAGAATACCAACGAATTGCAAGGGAGGCAAAAAAGAATTTCGAATTGAAACATCCTAAATCTGTTAAACATAAAGAACCAAAAAGATGGCGTGTTTATCAAAAATCGAATACAATAACCACCACTCAAGATCTACCATCAATTCAAGTCGAAAAAGATACTTTACCGTCTATAACTCCTCTTCAACCTACCACTCCTCTTCAACCTACAACTCCTCCTCAACCTACAACTCTTCCTCAACCTACAACTCTTCCTCAACCTACAACTCCTCTTCAACCTACAACTCCTCTTCAACCTACAACTCCTCTTCAATCATCCTCCACCCCAATTCTCAATAATATCAATTATTCAATGGAAGATTGGGATGAACTTTTGGCTGATGTTAATTTGCAATCCAAGAATATTGATGCTAATATGCTCTTTACGGAAAAAAATTTAAATTCGGCAATTAATAATGAATTTGCACAAACTACTGAAAGTGCCGCCAATTCACTGATCGTGGAAAATGGCTTAAATTATTTGAATTCGGACACACAATTTGATTTCTTTGATATTCCCTTGATCGTATCAAACTTAATAAATAGTGAACACTACCAAGACAAATTAAAAAAACAGCTTCAACCGAATATGACTTTGGATAATCCATTGGAATTAGATACGTTCAACAACGAGACTCAAATATCATCTCAAATAAACACATCCGGAAATTCAAATCTTTTTCAGTATAATTTTTTTTCAATGTTTTCTGACGACGAAAATAATATTGCAGATTTTCCTCTATTTCAAAATACCGACCAATTAAAGAACTGTTTTCCAATTATTTAATTATCTTATCGTTATATGCATTGTTAATTATGTTATTATGTTATCTATAAATGAATAAAATTCGTCTATCTATTGATTGAACGTTTACGAGCTAGTCTAATAAAAGCATTTGTGTATGAGGAAATTTACGATACATCTGGTTAGTTCAAATTGCCAGTTGTACAGATGACACGATAATGCTAGGTTTTCCCGGAGCGTGAGGAAAATTCTGTGAGGGAGTACAAGCGACGGCAATCCCACATTTAGCAAATGTACACAGCCTCCATTGTAAATGGACACCACCTGTCTGATTGTTACCATTTCTAAACTGATTTAACGTTAAGACTGTATTCATACACTCGGTGGACAAAAGTTTACAATCAGCAATGATCTACAAATGTAGACCACGAAAATTAGGGTAACTTCGACAC